ACAATACACACACACCCCATACACACACATACACAATACACACACACACCACACCACACACACACCCCATACACACCCATACACAATACACACACACACACACACCACACCACACACACACACACACCACACACACCCCATACACCATACACAATACACACACACATTAAATACCAGGATGGGGAATCTCCACAGACTGGTTGGGGAAGGCGTGGGGGGTGCTTTGTTCAGAAGGCGACATTTGAGCAGACTGGAGGAAGAGGCTGCACAGATGCCTCAGAAGGAGCTGTAGGTACAAAGGCCCTGAGGCAGGAACAGTTTCTGGAATAGTCGAGGAACAGCATAGAGATCCATGAAGCTGGAGTGAGAGGGAACGGGAAGTTGAATTCCGAGTCATGTGAGGACTTTGGGTTCCACCCAGAGCAAGGTGACCGCCAAATTTGGGAAGTCGGGAGACGTTCAGCTCTGTTTGCACTTCCGGTGCCTCTGTCCTTGAGCAATAAACCACAGCCGAACTTATTCATAACTACAGAAAGCTGGTGCTTGTACACGTGTAACAGACGGGGGTCTCCGCCAATCCGTGCAGCCGGGCTTCAGTCCCAGGGGCTGCCTGACAGACCAAGCTCTGGGGAGGCATGCTGTCACTACGCCTCATTTCCATCTTCCGAGCGTGGACGCCAATCCTATTCCCTCTGTCGCTGTGGTAAAGACACTGACTAAAGTCAACACGGAGGGAAAGGGTTTAGTTGGCTTGTGGGTTGAAAGGATAAAAAAAAAAAAGTGGTGAAGTGTCGACGAATTTCTAAAAGTCTTATTAAGTAAGAAACACAGAGCCAAATGCAGAGGTAATAACCGAAGAGATCAGAGAACCAGCGAAGAGCCATTGACTAGGCTTATCTTACCACTATGCCGTAGCTTTCCAAGAGATTCCTCCTGTCTAACCGTGTTTTTATTGCCTTCCTGTCCTGCCTTCTCACTGGCTCTAAGCCCAGCCACATCACTTCCTCGTCACTGCCTGTCTATACAGACCTCCAGGTCTCGATGGTTGGTACTGGGGTTAAAGGCGTGTGTCACCACGCTCATCTGTGTCCTTGACCACACAGAGACTCTGCCTGCCATGTGATCAGATTAAGGGCATGTGCCACCACCGCCCGGCTTCTGTTTATGGCTCGCTATGACCTCTGATCTCCAGGCAAACTTTATTTATTAACATACAAATAAAATACCACATTTCAGCACAAATAAAATATCACCACAGTGAAGTGAGCTACCTTTTGGCCTTCCCTTCCAAGGAAGGCCCCTGGGAGAACACACCACACACAACAGAGTTAGTGCGAGAGGTTTATTGGGGGAGGGACAGAGGGAAGGAGGGAAAAGCCTTCTCGAAGTGGGGACATGAGAACAGGCAAGAGACGAGAGCTGTGACTGACACTTTAAGAGGCGTGCGCGCTGCACAGATGAGCATGGGAAAGCGCCTGGCGGCAGATGATGGTGTAAAGCTGTGTCTCCGTGGCCGAGGCAGGCTGGTCACAGCAGCCGGAGCTGACATGGGTTGTGTACTCCATCATCCAGGGAAGCCAGAGCAGGACTCAAGGCAGGAACCTGGAGGCAGGAACTGAAGCCGAGACCAGGGGGGATGATGTTTACTGGCTTGTTTCCCCCATGGCCTGTTCAGCTTGTTTTCTTTGTACAACCTGGAACCACCTGCTTAGCCACAATCCAAACTGATGGAGGCAATTCCCCAGTTGAGGTTCCCTCTTCTGGGTAACTCCAGTTTGTATCTGATTGACAAAAACATAAATGATTGGTGGGTCAGGTGGCTATGGGATGGAGTTCTAAAACTGTTCTGGTTTTTACCGCCACCTGATCCACAAATCATCTATGAGCGTCGCTACGTGGAGTGTCTAAAGGACTTCCTTTGACAGACTGTTAAAATAATCCGGCTAAGGTCAGCGCAGAACGGAGCAGAGCAGGACACGGGGGTAGCAAGTCATGCCAGTTTGTTCTGAGCAGCCGCTGCTAACTCCTCCTGGAGAAGGCTGACTCTTCTCACCCACCACAGCCTGCGCGGAGGAAGCTTGCCTGTCGTGAGCAGTGTAGGAAGAACTCAGCCCAGAGGAAATCCAGGACTTGATTACATGATCCTGACAGCTTTGGGGCTGTGCCGGGTGACCTGGGGTACAAGGAAATAAAGATCCATGCGTAACTGGATGCTCTTTGGAAGCGGAAGAAATTTCACGATGGCTGCCTTCCCCCTTTGTTTTCTAGGAACGGGGAACAAAGGGGAGCTGGATTGACAGCAGTCACTCAGGATAGCCAGCAGAGGGCGACGTTCGGCTACTTTTGTGGTGATAGAGAATCTTGCCCAGTCTGGTGTTTGGTCCGAGTTACAAGTTCCCTTATTTTTGTCTTGTTTCCCCGCAGTCATGGGATGACCTCTCTAATTGCTGCTGACGTTCTGTGGGGATGTTTATGTCTAGGAGAAGCGCTGTATACAGCCGCTGAGCAGAGAACTGCCAGGGCCGTTTTGCTCATGTATGCGTTTTCTCTCATATTTAGAATTGAGCCATGATGGATACATTGGGGAATAAGTTCCACCCGCAAAGGAAGCCATCTAGTCTGAATGGGTCATTTTGGAAAGCTAAGTATCACTTCCCTCATCCTGGCACTTCTTCCCAGAGAAGAGTTTTAAACAACCCAGACCAGACCCCAGAGCGGTTGCAGGTCTGACTGATTTCTAAGAGGTAAAACTGGCACACTGATTTGTTATATATATATATATATATTTTATATATATATCAAATATATATTTATATATATATATAATATATAGTGTGTTATATGTATTATATATGTATTATATATGTTATATATGTTATATAATCATAATATATATATATATATTATGATTCCAAAACCCAATCTTAAAATTCATTTGAGGCCACTTATAATAGAAAGCATGCATATAATAAAACTCTAAACTATTAACACATGAATAAGAAATTTCGTGAATAACGGAGAAGCAACCATCGGATTCCAGTAGAAAACTCAACCCTGGATCAAGGCCAGGGCAGAGAGTAAAAGTGACCCTTGTGAGGAAAACACAATGATTTACTAGCTGTCACATCAAACATGAGCATGAGAGGCATGTCACTTGGTACCAGCTGCCCTCTTGGGGGAGGATAAGTGTTGGCACAGAAAAGCGTGGAGGTGAGTAGCAGGAACCATGACTTCCCCCCCCCCCCCCGGACCATCTTGAACCAAGAGACTCAAGAGGAGATGGGCAGAGAGACAGACTAGGACCACCTTCTTGCAGGAGAAGAGATCAGTCTATTTACAGACCCCAGGCCCTGGGTGAGG